ACTACTCTCTCTCTCTCCTCCCTCCCTCCCCTCCTCCTCCTCTCTCTCTCTCTCTCTCTCTCTCTCATTACTCGACGCAAGCATAATGAGCAGCAACGCACGCACCTCGAGTCAACCGCATGCATATCCCTCTCCTCCTCCCCCTCCCCCATCCCGAGCCAGCCGAGCGACATGTCGTAAGAGGGAGCCCAGCCAGCCGGAGCTGGGCTTAAGCCGCCGACTCGATAAGATGTATCGCGTGGCGGGGAGAGCTTGATTAGCGTCAGTCCGAGCAACACGGGAGCCATTCCAGGGGACGGCTGGCTGTGGCCCGTGAGTTGCGCGCGCGCGGTCTGCTTATCTACATCGCATCAGATGGGAAACAATACATATCGACATACCTTGCTAAACATATCAACATGTAAATATATAAATATATGAGTATATATCGACTGACAAAGGGAAGGGGGTGAGCTCCCATGGCGCGAGGGCGAGGACCTCTCGTGTCTTGCTTCACTCACACCCGGTCGTCTTCGATGTGGCAAATTGGATCCCCCAGACAGTAAAACCCAAACCCAAACCGTGCCAGCTCCCTTTTCGCCCGCTTCCCAATCTCCAAGATCCACAGCGACCTTTCTCACATCAACTCCTCTGATACTTCGCACGTATATCTATTCATCTTCGGGGGCTTGGCGGGCTAGCTTTCACATGATTTTTCCATCCCAAACCTCTGTCGCCCGACCAGAGATTTTCCGCTCTCGTCTCGATGGACCGCAAGCAAGCAAGCGGGCAAGCGAGCGAGCGAGCGAGCGAGCGATACTCATGCATGTAGATCCGGGGTCCGGTCAGCCAGCAGCATGCGCATGCGGCCTACGATTCGTACGTACATGGCAAGCAAGCCTGGGTCGTCTTTTCGGAAAAAAGGTGTGTGTGTGAGAGAGAGAGAGAGAAGAGGGCACCACTTTGCAAAAAAGTACATCTGGTCGTCGCGGTTTCTCGGGAGTCCACGCACCAAAGCTTCTCTTTCCGACCAGCTGTCAGACCAGGCAAGGCAGGAAATCAATAGTTGTCTGGTCGTTTCGTACTGACCTGATCTCCCCCCCTTCCCCCCCCCCCTCCGACCGGAATGTTCACGGCGGCCTTCCGTGATGAAAACTAACGGACGGGATCGCTTCCTCGCTTAAAGCTGGGAAGGTGGTACATTACCTAGGTACCTACCTAGGTATCTACCGGTATATCGTGCCCATTCCCCCCTTCCCTCCCCTCCTTTTTGTTTTGTTTTGTTTTTTTTTTGCTTTTCTCGATCCCGGCCTAGGTTGGACCCTTTTCACTCTCTCTCGGCTTTCTTGTAAAAGCTTTTCGTACGTATGTACCGTACACCTAAACTAATCTACCTGCAGGCTCGCTTGGATTGCCCGGTTGATCCCACTGATCTGCCCCGGGGGGAAGGGGAGGGGAGGGGTGGGCTCTGTCTCAGAAAGAAAGAAAGAAAGAAAGAAAGAAAGAAGGAACACAACTCCATTCGGACATCCCTTGCTTTCCTTCGGACATTGTTCTCCTCGCCATGTATTTATCTACACGATCGGTAGGTAGATCTGGGAGGCGATATACGGAAATTACATTGCATACCCGTGAGACCAGATTTCAACAGATCAGCGACCCTTAGCGCGCTTCTGGATAGGTACGGTACCGTAGACGACCAGGAGAGTGAGCAGCGAGCAGCGGGACGGATTGATTAATTAAGCTACGCCGAGAGAGAGCTTGAGCTCTTGTACCTACTGCACACTGCACTGCACTGCACTGCACTGCACTGCACGTCCCTCCAGTGCCCACTCCCTGAACGCCCTCGGGTCGGTCCAGCAGCATCTTTCGATTTTCGCTGTCGACTGTAGGAGCAAGCGACCCGTCCACCTGATCCTGGCCCTGACATCCGCCGCGTGTCTATAGTCCATATCCCCTTGCTCGATGTCCGTGCGGCGTGCTCTCGAAATGTCCTCTTTGTGACAGGCAGGAAAGCAATCTGGCCTGATCATCTATATCGACCGACCGCTCTGGGTCCGGTCCCGGAGGGCGCCGCGCAAGAGAAGGATAAAAAGATACTGCGGATCTTTCTGGGTGGATTATTGTTGTTGTTGTTGTTGTGGGCCGCGCCCGATGGGACGGACAGTTCTGTTTCTGTCTCGCTCGCAGGCGCGAACAGTTTGAAGCGAGGCATCCGAGAAAAGGCGGGAGAAACCCACGAGGCGTGCGGACATCGAACTGGCAAAACAGTGCATGGAATACTTCATTCCAGCCCTCATCCTTCCCACTTCCTCTCAGCCTCTGCAGATGTGACGGTCAACGGGCGGTAACGAGAGCACCTACCGGCTCTGCCTGCCTGCCTGCCTGCCTGCCTGGACTCCCGATATAGCAACTCCCCCTCGCTTAGTGGTCCAGAGCCAACAGAGAAGACGGTAACACGAGATCACAGCAAGGACGGGGAACCGAGTAACCTCTCGAGGACGTACGCGACGGGTTCCTGTTCGGTCCCGGCTGAGCTGAGCTGGGCTGGGCTGAGGCTGGGCTTGCCATCATGCCGCCGCCTCTCCGCCGCCCCCTTTCCCAGCATCTTGGGAGTATCTTATGCTGGTAGCTGCTCGCACGCAGTTGCGTCTCGTGCTCGCCGTCGTACACAGCTAAGTACCCAGTCCCAACCTAACAGCTCGATATCTTCGGGACGGCGCCGTGCCACCCAGCGACCGTCCGCTATTGGGGACTTCTGGAAGACGGTCACCGCTACACATGTGCTATTCTGGGAAGGTCACTGGAGCGCACCACAGGCACCGAAGAAGTATTTGAGCTGAGAGGTAGATGTCACGGCCACGCTGGGCAATATCCGCACATTCCCAGCTGGACTGGCGGTGCTCTCGCTCCTGAGACATATCCATCTCCCCTCGTCCGTCGCGCACGAAAACGCCAACGGGATGCAGGGAGTGACATTCTACAGAGCCGCATCTTAGGGGCGTCCACACGGTGTGCCACTTTGGTTGGCCAACCGTGAACATCGGTCTTGCGTACAAGTCCTGGTCGTTTCTATATATAAATTTTCGCAACTGTTATCGGCAGGCCAGCTTGGGACGCATGACACCGAATTGGCCAGTCCAAACCGCGGGCAAGCCCCTCTCTCCTGGGCCCGGGGGTAAGGTGAGGTGACAGCTGAAAACTCAAATACACTCTCAGCAAGGTGACCTATGTTTCGAGATGAGATTCGGCCATTAGGAGAGGAGGTGCTGCTGCTGCTGCTGCTGCTGCTGTATGCAGCTATCCAGCCGAGGACAGCCATCCATCTATGCGGAGAACCCTTGCATCAATCCGCACCTCAACCCACAACAAGGCAGGCCGGCCTCAGAATAGCATCAACCCAGAATCCTGGTTTTCCTGCGCCTCCCAACGCCAGCCAGCGCACGCTGTTCCCGTCCCCGATGGACGAGAGTCCTTTCCAGCAACGCGCGGTCGGCTACACCACAGCATCTGTCCGACGAAAGTTTCCGACCGCCCACCAGGAGCCGCCGCGCTACCCGCTACCACCCACTCCTTACCGCGAACGGAGAATTGCATGATCGTGAGGAAACCCTTTCGTCTCATCCCCTGCATGCCAAAGAGTCCAGTGGCGGCGACGCCGTGGCGAACGCCAACCCTCCCGAGCGAACGGGCAAATGGAAAGCCCTTGGACACCACGACGTTCCGCCCCCCAGCCCGCGCCCACAAAAATACGGACGGGACGTTACACACAAACTAAAATCCCGCGCATCTGTCCCACCGAAAACCGGGATGTGCAGTAGAGTAGATGCACGCTCCCACTACACAGTTTTGACATGTATCGGGGAGTCTGGGTAAGGTGTCTCTGAAATTCGCGCTGCGCTGCGCTGGGCCACGCCCGGAAAAGCCGCCGTTCAAATGCCAGAAAAAAAAAAGTTCAGATTGAAGATGGAGATTAGATTGAGATTTGACGCTCTGCCGTGTCGTCTCCCCTCCCCCTCTTGGGCTTCGTCCGAATGATTCCCATCGGCAGAAGCAGGCAGGCAGGCAAGCAGACAGGCTTTCAGCTCTCGACTCCCACCGTCTTGGCGCAAATGTCCTTTTCGTCTTCTCAAGGGCAGAAAAGACGCGAGATCTCTTTTCTGATTCGCTCGACGACGACGACGGAGACGGAAACTGGAACTGGCAAGATTGCAACTTGCGATCACTAAATCGACACCGCCTGCGCCTGTGCCGCGCCCGCGTCGTACCGCCCTGAGATTGCTTCGCGGACGTGCAAGACAAAGGAACAGACAGGAACAACCTCGCTCCTAACCACACGTTCGCAGGACGAGACGTGTCTCCCGCTCCCTTTTCGATACTGCCCTTGCCCCTTCCCCCTTCTCCCTCTCCCGTGATCTCTGCCCTGATCTGCATTCACGAACGTTCAGCGCGGGGCTGAGAAGGTGAGAAAATGCCCTCCGGTTTCCGTCCTGCCGTTGCGCATCGCATGGCGTACGGAGAGAAGAGACGCGGCATGAGTTGAATGACACGGGGAGGTAGTCGGAGCAGATAGATAGATAAGATAGATAGATAAGATAGATCGGTCTTCTCTCCGGTACCCATACCGAAACTTGCTGGTCGGCAGGCAGGCAGGCAGGCAGGCATTGCGGTTGGCTAGCAGAAGTTCGCCACTCTCCCAATTTTTTCATTTTTCATTTTTCTCTTTCATTTTTCTCTTTTTTTTCCTTTTTTTTTCTCTTTCTCTTTTTTTTTTTCCTTTTTTTTCTCTCAGCTGCCCCTTGCTATACGCGCCTACTTACTCAAGCCTGACCTGCACGGAGTGCGATCTAGCCATCCATTGTGCTCGCTCGCTCGCTCGCTCGCTTGCTCGGGATGGATTACCAGTGCTGGTGTCCTGTCCCCGTCTCGGAAGAATGATGCGACAACAGCTCGTAATACCTCCCTACCTACCTACCTCCCTGAAAGCCAAGCGGTATGGTACGGTACGGTATGGCTCGACCCTTGTATCATATCATGTTTATATCATATTTATATCATATTTATATCATATCAAAGCGTGCGCACACCGAGCGAGCTTGGGAGTGACGTTCGTTCGTTCGTTCTTCGGTTTATCTTGTGTTCTCAAGCGCGGAGGTGAGTGGGTGCGCCCAGGCGCTGGTTGCTTTCTTTCTTTCTTTCTTTCTTTCTTTCTTTCTTTCTCCTAGCTAGCTAGCAGCTCACTAGCGACGGGAGGAGGCGAGGCTACTAGACAATTAGGTATGCAAGATGCAAGATGCGAGATAGAAGATGCAGGATGCAAGATAGAAGATGCAGGATGCAAGATATGAGATGCAAGATGCAAGATGCAAGATATAAGATATAAGATACGAGGCGAGCTGAAACTGGTTTTGTGTAGTGAATTTGGTAGATAAAAGGCGGTAGAGATCAAAGAGGGCGAGAGAGAGAGAGAGAGAGAGAGAGAGAGAGAGAGAGAGAGAAGAAAGAAGACGTCC